AAGAAATAAAACATAATTTTATTTAAATAGATTATGTTAAATATAAAATTTATTTTGTGTTGTAAAAGTTGATTTATGATATAATACTTACAATCTATAAATAAAAAATAAATTTATTTAATTAGGCGATGTTGAAGATAAAGTTTATTTTGTGTTGTAAAAGTTGATTTATAATATAATACTTACATGCTGGTTATTATAAAGAAATAAAAAATAAATTTATTTAATTAGATGATGTTGAAGATAGTTTATTATGTGTTGTAAAAGTTGATTTATAATATAATACTTACACTCTACGAAATAAAAAATAAATTTATTTAATTAGGTGATGTTGAAGACAAAGTTTATTTTGTGTTGTAAAAGTTGATTTATGATATAATACTTACTGACTGGTTATTATAAATAAATAAAAAATAAATTTATTTAATTAGATGATGTTTTAATAAAGTTTATTTTGTGTTGTAAAACTTGATTTATAATATAATACTTACACTCTATGAAATAAAAAATAAATTTATTTAATTAGATGATGTTGAATATAAAGTTTATTTTTGTTGTAAAAGTTAATTTATGATATAATACTTACTGACTGGTTATTATAAAGAAATGAAAAATAAATTTATTTAATTAGATGATGTTGAAGATAAAGTTATTTTGTGTTGTAAAAGTTGATTTATAATATAATACTTACCATCTGGTTATTATAAAGAAATAAAAAACAAATTTATTTAATTAGATGATGTTGAAGATAAAGTTTATTTTGTGTTGTAAAAGTTGATTTATAATATAACACTTACTGTCTATAAATAAAAAATAAATTTATTTAATTAGATGATGTTGAAGATAAAGTTGGTTTTGTGTTGTAAAAGTTGATTTATAATATAATACTTACTGACTGGTTATTATAAAGAAATAAAAAATAAATTTATTTAATTAGATGATGCTGAAGATAAAGTTTATTTTGTGTTGTAAAAAGTTGATTTATAATATAATACTTACAATCTATAAATAAAAAATAAATTTATTTAATTAGATGATGTTGAAGATAAAGTTTATTTTGTGTTGTAAAAGTTGATTTATAATATAATACTTACTCCCTGGTTATTATAAAGAAATAAAAAATAAATTTATTTAATTAGATGATGTTTTAATAAATTTTATTTTGTGAAATATTTATTTACCTTTATAGAATTTAGCTAATTATTTTATTATAAAGCAATATTAAATTACAATGTAAAAATCCTTTTACTACTACTACATATTTTTATAACAGTTATTTTCTATGTAAGAAAAAAATACCTTTATTCATTTTTTTATTGGAATATAAATTTTTTGTCTACTATTCCTTATAATTTTGTGAAACCTCTGAATATCCACAAATTTTGTGATAAAATAGAATATTATCACAAAAAAATATCTGCAAATTTATAAATATTCTTCTAATTCACAGAAAAGATATCTGAATTAGCAGTTCATAACAATTCATATATATTTTTTAAATGTATAGCTTGCTTAAGGATACGGTCTAGCACGTGATCATTTATTAGTAATTCCAAAATTTTTGTCATACCGGTAACCAAATAAGTGCCAAAACAATTTCCGAAACACAATTTTAACCAATAAAATTTCTTTAAATATATATATAATAATAATAAAAATAAAAAATGTGCATCACAAATAAAAATTAAATATAACACATCCATTCAGAAGTTTCTATAATTTCCATTGCACCTTCTTCAATTCCAACAATTTTTGTGTCTATATGAAGTCTTGAGCAATTTACTGAAAGTTTTTGTATAGTAACAATTTCTTTAATAAATCCTTCCATAATTAATTCATCTAACAAATGTCCACATTGCTTTGAGTTTTTAATACTTCTATCAAATGCTTTGACATAGATTGGTAAATTAGGTATTTTTTTTTTTGCTTAATTTTTTGATTTTTAACTGTAAAAATGTTCCTATTACATCTTCACAACCAACATCTATTTCTTTCACCAAATCAGCCACAATTTCTACAAGGCGGATTACATCTTCTTTAACATCAATTAGCTCTGGGCTTTCTTTTATTTGATGTTTGGAGAGTAGTTATGTATTTCTAAAATAGCCAAACTAAGACTAAGTAATTATGAAAAAGATTAAGAAAATTCCCAAGAAAGTTAAACAAAGCAAACTTGCTTGACAATTTTCACATTTGTTACAATTGGAAGGTATTTGATCACCTGGCCATGCAAAATGTTGCAACATTAATTTTTGACAACAAATATATTTTTCCTCACAAAAGAACATTATTTCTCTTAGTTTTTTCAAGCCAGCTTGAAGTTGTGCTTTTCTTTCAACAGTTTCCTCTTCTCCAGAATATTCATGACCTTCAGCAATTATTGAGTATAAAAGATTGAAATCACTTCATGAATAAAAGGTAATACTTTTTGCAGAGGCACCATCTCTTGCTGCTCGACCACTTTCTTGGATATATTCTCTAAGGCCCATGGGAAAATCATAGTGCACTACCAACCTTATATCTGGAGTATTGATCCCCAAAC